CGTATGCGCCCGGATGTTACGGTGTTGGCGAGTGACCTGCGGAGCCTGTGAGATTTAGCCGTGTTCGGTAAGAAAACTCACTGTGGGGCAATGCTCAGCTATCGAGATTCACAGTGATTTCGTCAGCAATGCGATAGTGCATGTGGGACCTCCTACTGTGTTAGCTTCGGACTCTCGGTCGGTTCAATATGTCACTTTTTGTATCCCTCCATCTTCAGCGACATCTGCTCGGCAGCCCTCGCCACCACCACCCAATCAAATGTCAGCTGGTCTCACAAGCCCCCGGTCGCCAAGACTTTGCCAAGACTCTTAAGAGGGTAGGAAGAGCGGAGAGGAAATGTGATTCATGAATAAAGAGACAAGCTGTCGTCCATGCCCCCCCGGATCAGATTGATCGATTCCTTTGGAAAGCAAAAAAGCTCTTGTGAGGGCCAGCAAAAAACATAAAAGCATTGCTGACCGTCTCTTTTCTTCCCAATTACAGCTTTGCCTGATCCCAAGTATACTCTCGCCTGTTCTCGGCAATCGGCCCCTCCACTGCCTCAGCCCAGACAGTCTCCACTTACACAGCATCCCACGCATCTAGACGCACCTTACCTTGGTGTTCCAGCCCAACGGGTCCCGGCCGAACCTAATCTTCCGGATCTCCTCACCGAACTAGTTCGGTCAACCACATTCATACACCATGTCTACCAAGCAAGAGCACGAGTCTTCGGGGAGCAACTCCCCCAAGAGCAGCACTCCCGCTCCCTCAACAGCCACCAGCAACACTTCTCAGAGCACCGGCAACACCAGCGCCGATGATAACCTCATCTGCAAGTGGAACGCCTGCAACTTGAAGTTCGTCACACCCGAAGCTCTCTACGTAAGTTGCTCCCATGTTCCTCTCGTCATGAGAATGGCATGGCTGACGGCTCAATTCAGGAGCACATCTGTGAGCGTCATGTTGGCCGCAAGAGCACCAACAACCTCAACCTCACTTGCCAGTGGAACTCCTGCAGGACAACCACCGTGAAGCGTGACCACATCACCTCTCACATTCGTGTTCACGTCCCGCTCAAGCCTCACAAGTGTGAGTTCTGCGGCAAGTCCTTCAAGCGTCCTCAGGATTTGAAGAAGCATGTCAAGGTAAATTTGTCTCCCCTCTTTTCGCAAGACGGGACATCAAAAGCTCACATTTCCAGACCCACGCCGATGACTCGGTGCTCGTCCGATCACCTCAGGACCAGGGCCTGAACGGCTATCGGGCGCAGCCTGGCAAAGGTATGTACAGCTCAGTTTGCGCATCCAATGTCCTCTCGTTTTCTCCCAACTAGAGGCTAATGTGCCTCCAGCTTCTTCTAGCTACTATGATCATAATGGCCACATGAGGACTAACTCGGCCGCCTTCGCACACCAGGCTGGGCATGCTAGCTACTATGCACCCCAACCATCTACAAACTATGGACTGTACTTCAACCAACAACCCTTGAACCCTCCCCGAACTGAGTACATCGGCCACCACGCTGGCGGCTACGACAACCGGAAGCGCGCCTTCGACATGGTTGACGATTTCTTTGCACACGCCAAGCGTCGCCAGGTTGACCCTACTTCCTACCAACAAGTCGGCCGATCCCTCCTCCCTCTCCACGGTGCTCTTGGCCTTCACGCCGGCCCTATGCCGGGCTCCGACTACATGGCGGCCCCGCCCCCGCACGTCCAGCAGCAGCACCACCAGCAGCACATCGGTGGCGGCCACTCCGGTCCTGGTCCCCTGACCCAGCAGTACTACCTGCCGCCTATGCCCAACGCCCGTACCAAGAACGACCTGATCCAGATCGATCAGATCCTCGAGCAGATGCAGAGCACCGTCTACGAGAACGCAAACCAGGCCACCCAAGGAATCCACATTCACGGCCAAAACACGTTCGACCTCCGCAACAGCCCCTCGCCCACAGGCGGCCACAGAGGCTCCGCCGCCGGCATTCCAGTCACTCACGGCGGCTACGACGCCGTTTCCGCCGCTCACATGGCGTCGCCGCTCACTGCCATCTCCTCCACTGGAACGCCTGCCGTCACTCCCCCCTCAAGCACCATGTCCTACACCTCTGGCCACTCGCCCAGCCCCTCTTCTTCCGGCATGTCTCCTCAGTCAAGACACAGCTCAACCGCTTCCTCGGTCATGTACCCCAATCTCCCTGCCGTCAGCTCCGTCTTCCCCGGTCAGTCGACCACCTCAACTCTCGGACCCAGCTTCGACAGCAACGAGCGCCGACGCTACTCTGGCGGCATGCTCCAACGTGCCAACCCCTCGTCGCCTAGGTCGCCTCGCATCATGGAGGACTCCTCCTCCGGCGTCACCACCCCCAAGGCCGAGTCCGTCGCCTCGTCCATTGGTTCTCCTTCCTCCGACTCGGACATGAGCGAGGGTGCTCGTGAACGCGAGGAGAAGTACGACCAGTGGCTCGAGAACATGCGCACGATCGAGGCTCTTCGCGAGTACATCCGCGATCGTATCGACCGCAAGGACTTCGCTGAGGAGGCCGCTACCCGTCTTAAGTCTCCTGAACCCATGGAAGTCGACGCCAAGCCCGCCCCGGCAGCGCCGCTATACCCCATCTTGCGCCTGCCCAACTAAGCCGTCTACGTGGCGTTGAGCCGGTGCTGAAGAAGAGAGCCCCAGAAATCATCAAACCTGGGCGCGTGTACCAACAGTTGTCTACAAGCGTGTTTCGAGAAAAGTTTTCTTCCAAAAGGAAAGGGCAAAGTGATCGGTTCAACCTTGGTTCGTATTCTATTCAACAGCATTCTCTTTTTATTTTATTTTATTGCCTACAAAGCGCTTCTGGCAAAATACCTCCCCGCATGTCGAAGCTCACGCCTCTTTGTTACCTTACATACCCTGGTCGGTGGAAGTTGAAAGGGGAAGTGGATTGATGCGCAGTCTCCCAAACGCAGATGGATTGTGGTTGTTAATTCCGGGGCAAAGGGGTCCCCGGATAAACCCCAAATACAAACAAAACAAACGTCTTTTGATTTATTTCATCTATCATGACAATTAAGAGGGGAGAGATGGCTTTTACATTCGGGAGGGCTTTGCGAGCAAAGCAAAACACAAACATTTTGGTGCGAAACACTTCTTTTCACACGGATCGCGGATTATAACGGATATTGGAACGGGAATGAGATCATGAAAACAAGTCATGTTGCTTCGCCATTATGTAGTCAGTCTCCTTGGCTCGAACTCAGGGTCGAATGAAAATGCATATTACGCCTCTGAACATTCTCTCACTTTGCCTTGAGTGACTTTGCATACTGATTTTCTTGTCACAACTTGCTGATTTGCTCTATTACTGGAATGATGTGTCGTCATAATGTCCATTGTCATCCGAGCGGATTGTGTCTACAGAGTTCATGGGTAGAAGGGGTCAACTCAACAATCTCTTTTGAGTTTGGCCGCCCTCGTCATTCTTTTAACTGCTTCACCTCAGGCAATGACCCAAACTTTCGGTGTTCTAATAATAGGAGACCACATCCAGACGACGCTCTTACCACTTTGGGAAGTAGAGCCTACCACTCGAGCTTAGAGAATAGGAAAACAAGGTTCATGTTGCCGGATCCGGCGAAAGCGTCATGGACAACGTCTGCCCAGGACATCATCCGCTTCTCCACGGTAGGCCGGCGCGAACCCATTCCTCCACCATGAGAACGTTTTCGTGAAAGGGGGGCACACGAGGAAGAGACACAGAAGACAAAAATAATCTTGATTTATGTAACCGGAAAAATAAAAACAGCTTGTCAATGCCAAGACGCCATCGTCGGGCGTAGGTCTGGTCTCATAACCCCTACGATGACTCTCCTGATAATGCTGACGATACCTGAACGGGGTGGTTTTTCGTACAACGGAATCCGAGAGAGAAGGGGGGTGGGGGGCGTCCAGACCTCGCGTGGGCGAAAACGGCTGCGGGAAAGGGAACTGAGACACTTGAGGTAAAGCTGGATTCCAAACCTAGGCGCAGCAAGAGAAAGAGAAAGAGAAAGAGAGAGGTCATTCGCTCATCCTTGGCGAACGGGGACGCACACCTGTATGACAGCTCTATTTACCCACCTCAACCGAACTTGTCTCTCCCATCCCTTTCCACAAGCCCCCCCCTGCTGAACTATCTCATCCTTCCCGAGAACCAAGACAAACGTCAGCCCTGCGGTCGGCGCCTTGTCCCGAGGAATTTGCCGAAGGGGCCCTGATTGGAGAAATGACACTCGAGAGAGCACAAAAGAGCATCCTGCGTCCGGCTCCGAATATAGCCCAGACTCAGCATGTTATAGGCAAATTGAAAAAAAAGTGATATCCCTCTTTAAACACGAGCCAATCACAAAAGCTCATTTCCCACCGGCTTTCCTCGTTCGGCTGTAACCTCACCCTACCATACCCCAGATTCAAAAACTTTTCAGGATCGCCTGCACTAAGTGGATGTAAGGGGGACAACGAGGAGGGAATGGGCGACGCTGGCGATCAACTCCTTTGTGGGGAAGAAGAGGTATTTGAGGCCCGTGGTTGATCGGCGGAGCGGCTCGTTGAACATGTTTATTTTGGGTATTTTGAGACAATCGCCATTCCCACTAGACTTTCTCTCGCTTCGTGTAAGTCCTCTTCGTCTGTCTTGCGCGGGGTCGAAACATTTGCGCAGGCAGGTAATATACGAGAAAGGGGGGCGGGGGCGGGTGAGGGAGGTATGGGTAAAGACGACCGCCGAGAGGCGGACATGCTACGTAAGTGTTGACATCCTGTTCCGTGACTCTTTTGAGTAACCTGAACAGCGACTTTGAGTGGCGAGCTCCCTTCGAGACTGTTCACACTGCTGGCTATATAAACCACCAAAGAGTCCGCTGTAAGTATGACTTTCAAATCTCGCCAGACAATAAAGACAAGAACTCACAAAAAACCTCTCATGCCTCAAGAGACACTACAAAAACATCCAAATACATCAACTACCAGAGGCCCTCGCAAACACTCTACCAAAATGAGACTCAGCTTCACCAGAATCGCAGCAGCCACGCTCGCCATCCTCTCCAACAGCGGCGCCGTCCTCGCCTCGCCCGCCCCCGACGTGGCTCCGGTCCCCCTCCCCTCCCCCGTCACTCCCTTGCCCCCCGTTCCCCCGACTGAGCTGCCCAAGGCCGACCTCTGCTGCTGCAACACCAAGAACTGGGAGTGGCAGTGCAAGGTGCCCCACGTGTTCGGCGGCAGTCCGGACCCCCCATGCACCAAGGCACTGTGCCCCTGGAACCCCAAGAAGGAGAAGCAGTGCTGCTGTTGCATGCCCGGTCCCGGTTGGAACGTTCAGTGCAGAAGAACCCCCATCAACGAGCCGTGCATCTGCCTGGCCATCTACTGCGGCATTGCATTCGACGAGACGTGGTTGCCTGGATATCCTGGGCTTCCTAAGCCCCCTATTGGTAACCCGTTGCCTGTGGATGGGGCTTGAGGCGCCATCGGCTAGGTTATGGAATGCGGGTTGGAGGATTGTGTTATCTGGAACAAGTCGAGTGGTTAAGGGTCGATGTGCTACGAGAGGAGGGAAAGTCGGCGGTTTGGGGATAACGTCGCTCTTTTGACACTTTGTTGAATGGTGAAAGCGGAGGATCGGGGTACACTCTTTGGAAAAGACGGTATGCTGCGAAGAAACGATCTTGTCTACTGTGTGCTTTCCTTCGGGTTACAATGGCGAAGGCCTAGATTGAAAACTACAGTTAAATCAAGTAAAACGAGGAAATTATTCCATCTCAAATATTGGATCAATGTTGAATGAGTTGTTGTGAGTATGACGACGGTATTGTTGTGGTCTGGTCAGCATTGTGAGACCATCAGGCCTTCGATAATGCTTGCTAAAGCCCCTCTTTGTTGTTTGTATGATTACGATCTTTACAAAGGAAATGACAACATTCAAATATTATCACTCTTTATACCTAGCGACAATGAAATATACTCTCCTTGTTAAACTAAGGTACTTGAGCCTGACAAATTAGTCAAGCAACCAGTAAAACTAGGTACGCTGAAGTTGCTTGACTCTTTAAGCGTTAATTACGATTATGATGGTTGATTAATCTTTATCCTTCGGCAACTATTCTATTATCTTGGCTACGAACGCTTGAAATGGAGTTGACGATAGGTGGAACAATTCAAGCCTTCTCTTCAAGCTGTCATGTAGATAAATGACCATCGGCAAAGTCTCGCGGAATCTCTGTAACCCCTCACTGTTCGAACCCGGTACTCGACCTACTGACCTGTTAAATCGGCCGCTAGCTAACCAGGACACCCGCGGCTGATGTGGCAGGATTCAGGTTAATCATCACAGTGGAGGCGGAGGCGGAGGCGGAGTGAACGCCGCGGGGAAGGGAGCTCTTTCGGAAGAAGTGGAGAAGTTGGATGAGGCATCTCGCGCTTGAGGTCGAGTGGAGCTCCGCTGGCAGACAGAAACCGAGTACGAGCGAGAGAGTCGCGGCAAATCGCAATTTACAGACTGCAATGCCAAAGTCAAAAAATCACATATAAGAATAGGCTGTCCAGAATTATGATAACGAAGTTTACATAGATAGCAGTCCCACACCACAGATTTCACAATTCATAGTTGAAGTTCCCACATTCTCCAAGCAAACATACATCATCAGTTGAACACTACCCCAGGTAGTGATCCCTGCCCTTGTCCAACTCCAGACTGATAAGCGCAAGCATGGGCTCTCTCCCCGCTCCCCCGGCCAAGGCCGAGTACCAGATCTTGGAGAAGCCGAGCCGCAGTGGCCGGAAGCTTCGCATCGTGTGTCTCGGTGGCGGCGCCAGCGCCCTCAACCTTGCGCACGAGATTGATACTTGCAAGACACTCGACCTCGAGCTTGTATGTTACGAGAAGAACCCGTCCATCGGCGGCACTTGGTATGAGAATCGGTACCCGGGTTGCGGATGTGATATCCCGTCGGTCAACTATCAATTCTCATGGGCGCCGTCGCCCGACTGGACCCAATTGTGAGTGCAAATCGCCCAACAAAAGTGATGGGGCATTTATTAACCAATCGCCTTCTAAGCTACTCGAGTGCTCCGGAGATTCTGCAATATTTCAAAAATGTAGCAGAGAAATATGACTTGAACAAATACATTCGCCTCAATCACAAGGTCGTGGGCGCCTTTTGGGACGAGCACGACCAGATGTGGACCATCAAGATCGAGAAGCAAGACGGCACCATCATTGAGGATAAAGCACACGTCTTTGTGAATGCCAGTGGCGTGTTGAAGTAAGTCTTGTCGCCTCCTGTCTTCACCGAGTTTGAGCTAAGAGGCCGTCCGTAGCAAGTGGAAATGGCCGGCCATCAAAGGCAGAGAAACCTTCAAGGGAACCATGCTCCACAGCGCCAACTGGGACAACAGCATTGATCTGAAGGGAAAACGCGTCGGAGTCATTGGATCCGGCTCTTCAGCGGTTCAAATCGTTCCTAACATCCAACCTAGTAGGTTTCTTCTTGATGTTCCGTTAATACCAGCTCTAACCAACCTCAGTTGTTGGGACCTTGACATCTTTCATCCGCAGCTCATCATGGGTTGTCGGTGGCTTCGGTCAGAGATTTGCTGGAAAGAACGGTGGCAATTTCAAATGTAAGGAGCCACGTTAAAGTCCGTTCACCTATTCAAACTAACGGATTCTTAAAGACAGCGAAAAACAACATGAAATTTTCCGGAACGACCCAAAGAAATACCTTGCGTACAGAAAAAAGATAGAGTCCGAGCTAAACTCTCGTTTCCGCTTCATTCTTAACGGATCTAAAGAGCAACAAGACGCTAGAAACGTAAGATGATCTCCTCATCACTGCCCAAGAGCCATTGACTAACACCATCGACTCCAGTTCGCAGAAAAGGACATGCTTTCCAAGCTTGAAGGCAGACCGGACCTTGCAGACCTCATAATTCCCAAAGACTTTGCGGTCGGCTGTCGGAGACCAACACCCGGCAATGGATATCTCGAAGCACTCTGCAAAGACAACGTGAATGTGGTGTCATCAAACATTCAAGAGATCACACCCAAGGGGATCAAGACATCAGATGGCAAAGAGCATGAGTTTGACATAATTGTCTGCGCCACGGGCTTCGACGTTAGCTGGCGCCCACACTATCCTACCATTGGCCGAAACGGCGTCAGCCTCAGCGAATATTGGAAAGAAACCCCCAACACATATCTGTCCATGACTGTGGCCAACATGCCCAACTACATCAGTAAGCAACGGACTTCTTCTTTGCTACTCTTGCAGAGTCAACTAACTCTTTGCAAAGTCTTCAACGGCCCATTCGGCCCGTACGGTCACGGAAGCTTCCTTCCCATCACTGAAACCGTGGCCAGATACGTGATGCAGATGCTGCACAAGATGTCTGAAGAAGAAATTGCATCTTTTTGCCCAAAGCAGGAGGCTGTAAACGACTTCGTTGAACACCGCCGAAAGTTTCTTCCGCGCACTGCGTGGACTTCCCCGTGCCGATCATGGTTCAAGCAGGGCACGGTGGATGGCGAGCCCATGATGTGGCCCGGATCCCGCATCCAGTTTTTCGAGACCATCGGGACACCTCGGTGGGAGGACTACGAGCTCAAGTACACGACGACAAACAGGTTCGGATACTGGGGTAACGGTTTCGCGGTCCGCGAGAGTGATGGAAGGGATTTGTCTTGGTATTTGGGTCTCCTCGATGGCGTCGACGAACAGCCTGCGCTACCTGACGAAGATTTTGAAGATTTCATCATGAATAAATAGATAGAAAGGATATAATTTCGAGTTGCGTTTTTCAATGTTTCTCATCAGTCCGGGAATTCATTTGCGTCCTCGTCCTCGGTTCCGTTGCTTTTTTCAAAGATGACGAGCCCATGAGTCAATATATTCAACGTAACCAGTAGATGTATTAAAAGATTTGCGACCTTTCAAAAATACACAACAACTCTACCCGATCTTCCATGTTAATTTATGTCGCAAAAGTTGTTATGTACTGGGAAGCTGAAGACTGAAAGTGATATTATGATGGCTTTTACTTATGAATTAGTGGTAGGGTTTGGATTTATGAGACACCCTTGAATTTGGAATGATATCTGCCACGGCAGCTTAGGAAACCTGTTTGAACTGTTGATGGATTGAGGGGGATATGCAGCACAACAGCACAGCGATCAAAGGATAATTACACCTCATTGAGCCAAGAGTGGTCAATATTAAACGGGGCAAAGAACCCCAGTGTCATAAACGTATATCCAGATAGAGGAGACACTTCATCTCCTATTACATCTAAATACAATAAGTAGCACACTTGCCCTGCTATCAAAGAATGTATCGGAAGTTGGGCTGCTCAAAGTCTGTTAAGTCCAAGAATTCGGTTCCGGGGGCGACAACCTCAGGCTGTTCAGCTGCTTTCTTGTCCCGGCGCTTATTTTCCCGAATGTTTACAAGCCGAATAGCGACAATAGTAAGCGCGGCGAGGCCGTACATGATAGCCACCATGAGTTTGCCATTCTTGTAAACGGGTGCCTCGTTAGATCGAAACGTCTGCGGACCAATCCAATTACCGGCGCCGTAAGCAAGAATCTGAAGTCCGTTGACGGTTGCCTTCTTCGTGTACCCAAGAGTGTTGTTCGAAATCATTACCATGATCAGGCACCACGAAGCTCCGGCCGCGCCAATCAAATAGTAACCCACGAGAAGACCGGCTTTCGCGGATAGCGGTATTACAATCATCATGATGCCGCCAATCATGGGAATGAGAATAGCAATAAAAGCAAACAAAGATCTGTCCAACAGCTTGTCCGAGAGGTATGTGAAAAGCAGCTTGCAGGTGATGTCAACGGCACCCGTAGGCATGTTGAGCAACAGCGAAAGCCTAGCGTTGAAGCCAAACGAGTTGATGATGATGGAGCCAAAAGCAGTGATGCCGCCGTTGGGGATGTTCATGAGCAGCGAGAACAAGACGTACAGATACGTACGAGGATCGCGAAAGGCCTCAAAGAACTGATCCCATTTCCACTTGCGGCTGCCAATGCCCTGGAAGTTGCCACGGATGCGCTCAATAGCAATCGCCTTTTCTCGGTGAGTTAGGAAGCGTGCGTTGGTTTGATTATCCGGCATGAACCACCAACAGTAAGCGCCAGTGAGAATGGTGGGGAGGCCGAGAACCAGATAGAGAATCTTCCATGTAGCCATGACTGTGCCTTTGGCGCCGGAAAGAGCGTACGCTATAGGTCCAAGGGTCAAAAGAGCAACGCCATTGCAACTAAGCCAGAATCCCATGCGTTTGGCTTGCTCGTTTTGTTTGTACCATGCTGATGTGAGCAGGACAAATGCGGGTGTAACCGTACTTTCCAGTGCTCCAAGCATGAAGCGGACTGATAAGAGACCCGCGTAGTTGAAGGCGAATATGTGACAAACGAGAACGATACCCCAGAGAATGATGTTTGCTGATGTATATTTGCCGAGGGGCAGGGCTCGAAGGAGATATGTTGTTGGGAATCTTGGCTTGGTCAGAATCATTACATACTAACAGTCTGGGTTTTGGCGCTACACTTACTCCCATAATATGTAGCCTGCATAGAAAATGCTCGATGTCCAGCTGTATTGCTGACTCTGAGGGTCCAAGTTGGTGTCTTCGCGAATGCCCATAAGCGAAGCGTAATTGAGGGATGTTTTGTCGGCAAACTGTAGTGCATAGATCTATAATTTGAGTCTTGTTAATATAGACATTCCAGGCTCAATTGAGACTTTATACTAACCCAGCATAGCAAAGGCATCAACGCCCAGTCGATGCGAGACACGACTCGGGCTTCTTCTTCAGGGGTGAACTGGATTTGTTCGCCATTGATAAAGGCAAGCGCAGGATCGATCTCCCCTTGCTTCATCTTCTCAACGCTGCCATCTTCTAGGTCCGTTTGCGTTCGGATGACATCCCCGCCATCTGGGTTGGTCATCTTGTTTTTGTTGCCGTCGGATGGCATCGCGCTATTTTATGAGACAGGTAACCAAAGTTGTCCAGAGATAGTATATCGCGTCTTAAATGAATTCAATGTGCTATATTTTCGTTCAAACCCGTGAATGATATGATTTGAATTACAACAAAGTTATGGTAGACCCGATGTTAGATGTCTGCGGCGGACGGGGCTGTTCAAGTTGATTGTGATGAGATACGCCAGCTTATATACAATCTTTGGGTTGCCGGAACTGCTCGGAGTTTACACATATCCGGCTCAGAGCTGCGGTCAAGGCATACTTACGTTTTGGCTGGGGAGCTGATCACGGTGCACACGGCAAGGGGTCATTCAGCACGAGAAGTTGGATTCCTGGGGTAGCTGTGCCGGTGGCTTTTACCGGCTATCGCACTCGTCTGGGGTGTTGATAGGGGATCCTGTCAATGCACATTGACGGAGCTCCGCCCCCGCATTTTGGAGGTTCCCTCGGTCAACTATCCGCGCCCTTGGGACACCAACCAGCCGCCCTAATCCTACGTTAGTGCCGCTTTTGTTATCTCTACTGGAGTAAGTAATACTTTGGGCATGGTGTTATCTGTCACTGAGTCATGAAAACTTCGGGGGTAACGCTACAAGTCTGGGGGAGCGTTTACGTCCCCCTTGAGATCCACAATACAGTTGTAGGTTTCACAGGGGGTGAAACAGTGGGTGAAACGGAATTCCGTTCGTCAATAACAAATAACAGTAAATTGGTTCTAATCGATGGTTCATGATAGTTGAAAGTGGTGTTGTTGACTAGAAGGTGGGGATATTCCCCCTTGGCCTGTCACGTGGGTCTGGGAGGCTTGGGCCTCTCAGCCTGGCGGGCGTGTGGCTGGAAGTGCTATACGACTCCGTATTCCAACTATCGCAACACTGGAAACTCTCTTTTTATAGTGTTGAAGCGGTTGGAATACGTTGTCCCTATATAGTTCCGTCTCCTCGTTAATTCGGCCTCCTATCCCTACTTTCTCCCGTAGTTACGGTCTTGTTACCTATCCTTCTATACGTATCGTTATCGTGTTATTATTAACGAATCTCTCGAAGGCTCGATTTAGTTTGCTCTTCGTGAGGGCATTAGCAGGGTTGTCTTCGCCGTTAATCTAACGAATTTCTTATAGTTCTCGTCTTTCGTACGATTATCTTAACGCTATAATATCGATTATAAGTCGCTTTTCTTTAGTAGTGCCTAGCTTTACGAGATACTTATATAGCGAATAAGAATTAGTATAGATAACTATCTAAATCGTTAGTAGGTTAAGGTAGTTAGTAATTATCGCTAAGGTTATAGCAAAGGCGTAAGCTATATCGACGCTAGCGACTATCCCGTAGATCTCTAATACTAATACGCTATAAGTAACTTATTTACTCTTCGTAAAGCTATAATAAACAAGGTTACTATAAATTGTAAATTCTTCGTTATTACTATTAGAGGAAGTATCGTTAGCTAGGATGATTAGAAACCCTAATTAGGAGGAAAGGTCGTAGTTATTAGCAAACAACCTGTTAACGAAAACGAATAGCTTAGCTATTATAAGGTCGAGTAGGATAAACGTTATTCCTTAGTTAGGCGATTCTATTTACTATCGAATCCGTTGATTTAGTACTTTTATCGCTTCTAGCGAAGGGTCTTAGTATTAAGTAATAGTAGATAAATCGAAACAGGCCTCGGGTTAGCAAATTAACGCGATATACGCCCCTCTAGCGCGTTGTTCGATATATTGCTATTTTAGGTTAGGTTTAGTAGTCTTAATATATCGTAACTTCTTAGCTTATCCCTTTTGCCTTAAATTAATCGAATTATCGGTTGATAGCGCGACTATCCCTCTATTAAATTAGAAGGGTTTGTTAATTATAAGGATATTCTTCGCTTTTGCTATAAAAGCTGCTTTTTCTAACTATTCGTCTTCTAATTATAAGAACGCCTTGTCTAATAAACCGAGGGTATCGTCGGTTTGCATACCGATATAGCTAAAGTATAGATTTTCAGTAGATAAGATTAATAAGTATAGATCGTACGAAGAAGTAACTATCTAGAGATTCTCTCTATAATGCTTATAATACGTTGCCTACTAGTAGGTTCTAGCTTCTGCGATTCCGTACAAAGGCTTTACAACCTCCATAATAGTCCCTTTTGGGTACTAGTCTTGAATTTGCTTCGGTAGGTAGGCGAGAATAGTACGATTAAGCCTTATAGAGGATTAAACGTAGGCTTATATAATATCTTAAAGCTATAGTTATTTCCCTTCTCGTAGGAGTAACGGGGTAATTAATAGAATTAGCCGTTAACTTGCCTGCTAAATCGTTAGCGATTAGGTTAATATAGCCTTCTTACTATCGTCGGCGTAACCTTGTATTATAAGTCTTGATTTCTTGTAGGGTTTGGTTATTTTACTTTTGACTTCGTTAACGATACGAGATCGGAAGATTCGTACGTTCTGATACCTTTTCTTATTAAACTAGGTGAATTTAAATACTCTTCTAGCGATAAGGCTATTAATCTCTTATTTAGTTAACTATTCGAACGGTTTGCTTAGTATAGTAATAATACCTTCTCGTCGTAGTTTAATTACTAATTCTTCGTCTACTTACTCCTTAATCGATAGGAATATTTATTAATAATCTAGGTTATTATTAAATTCCTTTATAAAGTAGGCGATTAGCAGTAGTCTCTTCTAAGGTCTGCCTAGGCGTCTTCTCGGTAGCTCCGGTGCCTCTTGCGGTTTGTCTGGTTTACTACCTCCGCTAGCGACGATAATCTCGTCGCGTACTACTTCCTACTACGGTATCTTAGCTTCGGGTTCTTCTTCTTCTAGCACGGCGATAGAATTAGGTAGTTAATCAGGATCTTCGTAGTATAGTTTGACTATAGTAGACTAGAAGGTCTTCGGACTATATAGCGTATCGATAGTATAGGTTTCGCTATTTATAGCTACTAAAGTAAATAGTCCGGTCTAGCCTTTCTTTTCGCGCTATACTTATACTTACGACTATAGTAGTAAATTAACAATTAGCCTTGTATTAAGGCTATTATAAGTAGCGATAGCTTCTACTACCTATCGCCTTGCGTAAAGTTTACATACTTCGCTTATCGCCTTCTTAATCGCTTTCGCCTACCTTATAACTTCGGGAGATAGCAGCGAATCGTTAGTAATTCGTAAGTATAAGCCGAATACTAAGAGTATTAGTACTATTCCGTTTAGGCTAGCAGTATTGTTAACTACTTTAACTACTATTTAAAGTATTAATTCTAGCATAATTATTAGGTCTTCTACTTTAATAATTTCGTACGCCTTCCTTAGAGGTATATAGTATTATTTAACTTTCCTAATACTATTATAGGCTTTTATAAGTATTTCCTTGATTTTAATTACTATTCCTCTTGCCGCGTTTCGGAATTCTATTAAGCAGAAGTTTGTTCTAGCGTCGGTAACTAGCTAGTCTAGGGGTCCCTGATATATATCTATCTAGCAGAGGCGTAAGGCTTCCTAAGTAGCTTTCGTAGAAATATCCTTAAGGAACTAGGCGGCGTTAAACGCCGTAGCGGTATCGACAACGTAGAAGACCGGTTTGTTACCCTTAAAGTATATTACGTCGGCGATAACCTTATAGTTAAATTCGTAATCGTCTCGTAACGTAAATTTAAACTATGATAGCGCTAGTGCGTATATTTAGCATCGATAGCAGACTTTCGATAGTTACTTAATTGCCGTAATTTCAACTAGGTAGCTAGCCTTCTAGAGCACCTTATATAATCGTTAAATAGATAGGTATCCGAAGCGACGGTAAACCCGTCGTAATTTAGCGTCTATAAGGTAGTTCTAGGCGAGTAGTTTCTCCTTATTAAGTAATAACTATAGGTAGCCTTATTTGCGAATAATAGGTACGACCTTGTTTCCTTAGATAAGGGTATTCGTAACATTATTAAAGTAGACCTTTAATCGGTCTATATCTCCTAGGCATATAAGAAAGGGAGTATTAGTCTTAATAACGTAAAATTTAACGCTTCTAAACGGCGTTAGTACTTTGGTAGTCCCTATAGACTCTAGTAGTATCCTATCGCCGAATTTTACTATAACGCCGCTAGCCGCCTTAGTATTTAACGTAATTCCTTCGTAAATTTGTTATAGGGCTACGAATTGTAGGTAGCTAGCGGTTAAGAATCCTGCTACGCCCGAGTCGGGCATAATCCCTTAGAAGTTCTAGGTAGAGTAGCGTCCCTCGAGTATAAATTGCGAAGGTAGCTCTTTCGGTTCTAGTTAGTTACGGAAGAGGTCTTCTTTCGTAATAGCATAGCAGGTTAACTAGTCTGCTAGGATCGTAGCGATCCTATTACCGTCAATTACTATTATAGTAAAATAGGCGGTAACCTAGAATTAACTATCGCTACTAGTCTCTTCCTCTTCGTTACCTTTACTAGTTTGTTCGGTTACGTAGTAGTATTGCTAGGGGTCTTCGGCGGTAGGTTATAGGTCTAACCCGTCGAAACCCTTGTATTAGACGAGAAATTAGCTATATACTAGAAGTAACGTATCCTAGACATATTAAGTAGTTTTAAACTTCTCGTACGCTTTTCGTCTCTCTTCTATAGTATGTTTAGTTAACTAGTAGTTAGGTTTTCTATATACGTAGCACTTCTTAAGCGTTAGCGGTAATAAGGGTCTGTTACGGCTTCTTCCTCGTAATAATCGACTTCGTAATAAACGACTATATCGTAAATAACGCCCTCGACCGTTGAAAGTTCTATCGGTCTAGTACTGCTTTAGTAGGTTAGCTACTATGTTGAATTATTGTTAGTTAAGACGGGTAGCTATCTCAATCGACGAGATTAATTAGCTACGAAGTCCCTCGTACGTCTTAGCCGGTATAAATAACGCTATTACATACTCTAGAATATCTCTACAAGCGTGTAGAAGTTAGGTATAGAGGGATCGGTCGTTATGATCCTGTTATAGCAAACCAGGCTGAATCTTGCTTAATTTGTCATATAG